GCTGGAGTAAATTTTCTCAATAAGAGGGATTTTTAAGTCTGTTATATTAATACGAGGGTTATACAAGTGTTCACTTACTGGCTTATGTATGTTACCATTCCTGATGTCCGATTTGTGTCCATTTATTCTTTTGTGGAGGGACTGTCCGGTTTGGCCAATGTACATGGCAGAGGGGCATTGCTGGCACATGATGGCATATATAACATTAGTGGATGTGCAGGTGAACGAGCCCTTGATGGTGTGGCTGATGTGGTTGGGTCCTCTGATGGTGTCGCCAGAGTAGATATGGGGACAGAGTAGGCGAGGGGTTGTTATTGGGTTATAGATTGTTGTAATAAGTCATAAATCCATTGTCTCTATTCAGTCCATGATTTTTAGTGTCTAGCAGAGTTATGAATTTAAGCTCCCAGGCTCATTTTTTTAAAGTGTTGTGCAGGTTTCCTTTGAGGATGAGGACGGAGAGGTCAGATATAGAGTGATTGCTTTGTGAAGTATTCACCCACAGGTGATATGGGGCTTTTATCTATATTTTTCTGTGGGAGTTCATTCAAGAGAGTAGTGATTGTCTGTCTGGTTTCACCCACATAGTTGCTATTGGAGCATTTAGTACACTGAAGGAGGTACTCGTGTTGTTTAGTACCCATGGATCTTAAAAGGTGTGTCGTGTGTGTGTGGAGGGGTGTTGATCATTGTAGCATGCAGATATTTCTACAAGTTTTGCATCTGTTGTTCTCGCAGGGTCTTGTGCTGCTTTGAGTTGGTGTTCTGGTCTCTGGGGAGCTTGCTTCTGATGATGCGATTGGGAGGTTGATTGTTTGAAGGCCAGAACATGGTGTTCAGGAGAGATTTACTGGATCTGTGCAGGTAGGTGTGGGTAATTCATGGGTTCCTTGCATACAGTTGTCTATAGGGTTTCCTCCACACTCTCAGGGTCTCAGAGCTCAGGCTGCAGCCCGAGCCTGCATGCCTATGCCCAATTTTGCAGCCCAAGCCCTGCGAGCCTAAGGGTATGTCTACACTACCTGTCGGATTGGCGGGCAGCGATTGATCCAGCGGGGATTGGTTTATTTCATCTAGTCTAGACGCAATAAATCGACCCCCAAGCCCTCTCCCGTCGACTCCTGTACTCCAGCACCACGAGAGGCGCAGGCAGAGTCGACAGGGGAACAGCAGCAGTCAACTCACCACGGTGAAGACACCACAGTAAGTCGATCTAAGTACATCGACTTCAGCTACGTTATTCATGTAGCTGAAGTTGCGTAACTTAGATCGATCCCCCCCCACGTGTAGACCTCAGTCAGCTGACATGAGCCAGCTGTGGGTGTTTTAACTGCAGTGTAGGCATACCCTCTGAGTTCATTTTTCAGACCTGAAGAAGAGTTCTGCGTAAGCTCGAAAGCTCGTCTCTTTCACCAACAGAAGTTGGTCCAATAAAAGGTATTACCTCACTCACCTTGTCTCTCTAATATCCTGGAACTAACATGGCTACAACAACACTGCATACAAACATATGCCATGTCCATCTGTAGTAGTAACTACTATTTGTCCTCCATCTTTATGCTCCTCATCTTAAAGGATTGCTGTGGATAAACTTTTGCTCTAAAACAAATATTGATGTGCTTATCCACTCAAATCCTCCATCTGTTTATTATTAAGTTGAGATTTTCGAAGGTACTTTGTTTGCCTAACTTTGCTCCCATTGAACTTCACTGTAAAACCCTCATTGCTACTGAAAATCCTCACCCGTGTATTGGTGATGCGGACCAAATAAATACTTGAGCATCTCACATTATCCTACCCAGCTGCATGTACTGACTGTAGGTAATACAGTCCTGACTTGTACATACTGTAAATATTTCTGAGGAAAAATATGTACTGCTGGCTTTCTTTATTATTTCAACAAGTCTTTGATTAGCAAGACAGTCAAATTTTTAAGATGATTGTGGGATTACATCACAGAAACTATTTTCCTGGGGGGTACCGCTACTGCAATATAGGTGAAAAATGATATTAGAAAGACTTGGTTTGATGGTAACATCTCCTGGTATAGAGATCCAAGAAATCAAACAAAAGGTGGTTTGGATAAGTTATTGCATGGGGTTTTTTTTGTTTTCTTTTGTTTTTTTGTAATGAAATAGAAGGACCTGTTGGCAGAATGTTGCCCTAGTTTGGTTTATCTATATAGTTAACCTGAAAGCAACTATGGAGTGTGAATACTTTTTTTTAGGGTAGCCTTTTTCATGCTGTAAACATTCCATGTCTTAGTCACAAAACTTACTTAAAACTCATTCCATTACGTTTGCTTTCTGTTCCACTTTGCAACGTGGTGTGAGTCAGGTCAGATATGCCAATGCATAGTGCCTCAGTGCTACATAGTTGGTTTTTTACATCTACAGCATTTGAAGAGAATGGAAAATGTTCAGAAAATACTACAAGGTGGCAACAAGAGGAACCAGAATCTAGGGGAGAGAGAAAGTCTGTGAAGTATCTGCCCTATGTAGATAACAATGAACAGTCCAAAGCTAACAGCAAAGTATTACCAAACTTAGTAGCCAGTGTAAGCCAAGGAGCTTCTAAACTATCTCGCTCAATAAGACATATGAGGCCTGATTCTTAGGGTACATCTACACTACCCGCCGGATCGGCGGGTAGCGATCAATCATTGGGGATCGATTTATCACGTGTAGTGTAGATGCGATAAATCGATCCCCGATCGCTCTCCTGTCGACTGTTGAACTCCAGCTCGGCGAGAGGCGGAAGCAAAGTTCACGGGGGAGCCGCGGCCATTGATCCCACGCCTCGAGGACGTGAAGTAAGTAATTCTAAGTCGATCTAAGATACATTGACTTCAGCTACGCTATTCTCGTAGCTGAAGTTGCGTTTCTTAGATCGATTTCCCCTCCACCTCCCCCCGAGTGTAGACCAGGCCTTGCTCACACTACGTAGTACTTGACCTCAACAGGCTACTTGTGTGACTAAGCAAAAATGAGTTAGAGTTGCATGGTCAAGTCCTAGCTGAGGGAAAAGGTAGATGACTATCTGCTGTGAACCAATTGTGGAATCTTTGTCCATATATGTGAGCAGTACTTGTGCAAGAGGGCCTGTTGATGTGTAAGTGCTCACCAACTTGAGGGAGCGTTCTACAGTTGGTCCCTTTTACCATTGCTTTTATTTTGCATGGCCTCTTTTCAGTACTATCTACTCAGCAGATGAGATGCTTTTGGCATTTTCTAAGAGTAGACTGAAGCTTTGCCACAAGCCTTGACTACAGACTATCATGTAGCTGTGCCACTCGAGGAGCAACATAAAGAAGGACCCGGACCTCTGCTTCCCCTCTGTTCAGGGGATGAGGGATAGTAATTCATGTTGGCCAGTGTGTGAGGGGCCCAATCAAGGCTCCACTCATTTACTGACCCACCCCTGTACATGTGTCGGGTGGAGGAGCAGGAGGTAGTGTCTGTATAGCCTGCAGAGAGGAAGAAAGGGGAAAATCTAACTCCCATTATGCCCTGTGTGGTGGCATGGGCCAAGGAACAATTGAGCCCAAAGTGCCTAATGTTTGAGAGACCCTGTGAAAGCACAGTGTCTTTTGATTGTTTAAGGATGACGAGTGAATTCCTGATGAAGATTGGGAGAGATTAATCTCCATTTTCTGGGGTCGGGGGGATGCTGAGACTATTATGGAGTTTAAGGGGTTCATACTAAAGGCAGGAGATATTGTCAAGTCCTGGACTTGATATTTCCCTTGACAGTTTCTAGAGACTTTGATGTGAACAGAAAGACACAAAATAGTGCAGAATTGGGTTGTAGAATGCATGTGGGAATCATCACCTCCCCTCCCAACAGAGCTGCTCTTTGCAAGCCCATGGGGTTGTAGCTCCATAGGTCTACAGGTGAATACCAGAAGCAGAGTGAGGGTAACAGATTCTCTTCATGCCTCACTCTTTATAAGTCAGGCTTGAAAACGCTGCATTTCACACTTGTGGTGGGCTCTGAATGGAGTGCAAAAAGTCATATTTTTGGTCCCATTATGGAGTTATTTTAAACAAACTATAGGATCACTTCCCATA